AAGGCCAGAGACTTAAATACCACTCGGTTTCAGTCATGTTTCTCAGTGGTTTCCAGGAGAGTTTAGTGGTACTCCTGCTTTTAGTAAGGAATCCCGGATGCAGCAAAGAGCTACTTGCCCAACAATACGCATCACGGCTGAAGCAAAGCAGAAACTTAACCTACAGCTCTGCTTCCCAGACTAGCTGCAGCTAAACAGCTGTACTTTATTCTACCAAAACATTATCAACTCATGCTCATTTTCAGGGTGGGAAAACATGGTCTGGATAACTCAGACAATGAAGTTTTCAATGCGAACCTTGCCACAAAGTCAAATGTTGGATCATGCCAAAACTCAGAATGCCCCTCACCTCCATACAGCCTGCATAGGATTGGTATTGATAGTAATCACTTCCTAAACCCTGCAAAAAAGCCCAGCTCACAGAACAAAGAGCACTCACCCACCTGTTTTGCAACTGCTTGATTTTTGAAAGCTAAGAGATAGAGAGAGGGAAAAATATACCAGAAGGACATCTTAATGAGTTTCAGTCCCTCTTTTGAAAGCTTGTGGATGATGAGCTTTGGAGTCTGAGCGGAAATGAAGTTCCACCATCAGACCAGGGCTTTACTAGTTTGCTTTTTGCAGAGGCTAGAGAAAACACGGAACAAAATTCAGCAGTTGATCAATGAATATGAGAGAAAGGGTCCTGGTAAGAGTATTGCACCCATAAAAATCAGACAGCAAGGGAAGGCACAGTGGAGTGCAGTAACTACATTCACACACCTCCTACTTCCAGTTCTCCGTAATTGTGCGGTGCTCTAACGAAAACTAAGCCTGCCCAGGAAGGAATGCGATGTCATTTTGCAGCTATACAGGACCTTGGAGAGGAAACAGCTATTGCATATCCTACCACACCTTACTTCAGCAGGGAAGCTTCCAAAGATTTCAGCTTGTTTCCTCAGCTCTAAAATCATCGGTTCCTTTTAGCGTCATCACGACCTGCAACTCCACACTTACTTTTGAGCCTGTAAGAAGTTGCCTTGTCATGGGGTCACTTGATGCTAGAGATCCAGTGACATAAACAGTAGGCTTTGCTGCACCATTCACTTCCAGGAGGTCAGAGCTGCATCGGATTTAGACCAGAGCCACACAAGCTACACCCCCTGCCTTGCAGACTCTCCCTCAACAGCTCTGAGGAAGCTGCTTGACCAGAGCATTTTGTCCTGCTCAATGAGGGGGTTGGCTCCCCCCAACTCCACAACACAAGAGTCAGCACAACATTATGTTGCAACTGGAAAAAGGGCCATGTTTATATAACACTTGGAATTAATTTTTACAGGGAAGGCCAGCTACAAACTGCAGGAACTAAACTCTTCTGAATCTTAGCATCCAAGCAGACAGAACAGAACATATTTTCCAAAAATTGGACCAGATTTATAAATCCTGACTCAATGCATCCCACAGCATACCAGTGCCTTACGCGAGCCTGTCCTCCTGAAGCCGCAGGGTTGCTCACCGCGTCTCAGCCAAGGGGGTTTAGGAGTTTTTAACAGGACTACTCACATGTCAGGCTTCCCAGTTAAGAATGGACTAATCCCATGGGTTCACAAATCCCCTGCCAGAAAAGCTGTCCCAGTAGCACGGTGACTAATAAGTGGACTCACTGCTGAGCAAGCCCCAAGCTCTCCAAAAGCTCAAGTTCCTATTTCCTAACCCAAGTTCAGACCGAGGTGGAGTCGGCCTCTGGCAGCAGCAGCAGCACCTCGGCACCGGTGGCTGCCAGAGATCCCACACGCTGCATGTCGACAAGATGCTGGCTGCGAGTCCTCCACTGTGCCTCTTCCTCAGCTGCCTGCTGAAAAGGAGAGAGACTTGCACCTAAAGCCCAGCCGCTCCCGATGAACCCCTCCAGATGTTGACTAACAGCAGCACACGGCCTCAACCCACCGATTGCTTTTGAGAGGTAGATTTGCCTGTTTCGGCATTTTTCCAAGCAGTTCATGCACTTTAAGAAATAGACTGAGCCAGCATTTGGCAAGGGAGCGCTTAAATTACCACAACACTTTTATTCTCTCTCCTCCCCCTCAAAAACTAATAAATTATGGCCAGGTCACAGTTCCCAGAAAGCTGCCTCGTGCAAGAACACAACAGCTTGTCAGAACGACAGCCTTTTTCTGCTAATATTCAAGTAGGGTAGTGCTCGAGATTACCATGACGTACTTACAGCCACCTCCCTTCAACTCTCGGATCAGGCTCTCTGGTTTCAATGCAGCTGGCCATACACGAGGCATAAACACAACTAAAGCTTAATTCAACACACCGCTGTGACAACACCACACCTTGACATTTCGGATAACATCTTCTTGAGAGACTTCAGATCCACAGTAATACTACTATCCTCTCCTGCAAGTTTGCTTTGTCATAACAAGGAATCATGCCATTACTCAGTCTTTCAGACATCTGTCAGTCATCAAAGCCTGTCCTGTAAGCCCTACTCAGAGTGACCCATGGCCCCACCAGTTCATACTTTCACCCCCTTCCTTCTTCAGCATCCTCTTGTAACTGCATTGCAGAGCTCTGAATCAAGTTAAGGGCTCAAGAACTTCCAGGCAAGGATTGATTTGTCTTCTTACACACAGGCACAGAATTAGCTTACACAACTTCCGAGCTGAACTGATTTTTTCACACAATTATCTGCTGTAACCTCGACATCTCCCTACAAAGCACCCAGGGCCATCACTGCATATATAAAAACTAAAATACCATTTGCTGTCTCCCAGGCCCGAGGCAGCAAAGCAGCTGAGGGATTACACAGCAGTCTACAGATCAGCTATATCACCCACATCTCCCTTCAGAAGACTGCAGTCATTACCATTTGGTTCATGGCGGTCTGTCTGGCCTGTTTATAGCCACCTCAGACACTCCTGAAGCTGACTGTCTGAAATCCCACCCAAGAAGCACCAGAGACCCTTTATTCCCCCCAGAGAAGCAACCAGAGACCCCCACAGAATTTAAGACCTCTTCTGTGGTTGCACACTACCTGCAGTGATGTGCCACCTTTCCTTTGCTGTCAGGCAGTAAATTCCTCTAGGCCACAGCTAGACATAAAGGAATGCCATCTTTGGCCCTTTCCCCCATGACTGTGTCACCTCTAGCTCTTCACCTCTCTGTTTGAGATGTCCTCAGTACCAAACAGCAGCCTGTGTTTCTAGCCCAGCCCTTCCTGGGGTTGAACTCACCCCTCCCTCAGAGCTTGAAACCCAGCTCAGCCAGGTCTTGTTCTCTTAGGAGCCCCTCAACCAGGCAGCCCTCTCCTGATCCTTCCAAAAGGGGAGGCAAGACCTCCTAATCTGCCTGCGTCTCCAGTAAACTTCACCCCAACGTACCCTTTTCCCCGTCTCTAAAAGCAGACCACACTAAGTCACAGTTGTAACCTCAGAGGTCCAGTATGTTAACAGGACATCGGCCCAGGACCTAGTGCAGTGGTTTAAGGGGGAGGCAACAAATCATTCAGAA